GAGCGGGCGGTTCTGTGTGTGTGTGAGAGAGAGAGAGAGAGAGAGAGAGAGAGAGAGAGAGAGAGAGAGAGAGAGAGAGAGAGAGAGAGATGCCACCCGTGTGTTCTAGTTTAATAGAACACCCATATGTTTGAATAGAACATACGTGCGTACTATTTCAATGGGCGTACTATTTGGATTTCCAGGGGTGACTTTGAGAAATGGACTTTTCCAGGGAAAGTTGAATAGTACATACGTGCGTTTTGTTCGGGGGAAGACTGTAGTACACGCAGAAGTCAATGGCAAAAAAGTACGTAAAATAGCTGATATAGGATCAACTATGTGTTACATCAGTCAATTGTGCATACGGACGTTGCATCTTAATGGGAAGATGCACAAGCTAAGTGGGTCAATAAAACCTACGTTAGCTAACAACACACGGATTACAACAGGAAACTATTTAAGGACTTAGTGGGTCCTTCACATCCAAGGGGGAGCGATTAGGCCCAAGTGGAAAGTTCTCTTTTATGGTTAGCAATGACTTACCATTGGAAACAATACTACCCTGTTCACCCGACAATAACGGCCGTGTGTTATATTCAACTTCCCCTTAAAAAATCAGATTTTTGTTTTTACCCACATTTTTTGGAATATAATGCCCGGGGGTTATATTCTAATAGAAAGCCCGGGCGTTATACTCCAGTGTGGCACGGGCAGAGTGCTTTGTGAAAGGAGTATACATAGGTTTTGAAGGGGGGCAAGGGGGGTATATAATGCCCACCGTCTATCTTGTTGATATCCTTGTCTTCAGTAAGAGTCTAAAGGTACCGAGTCTAAAGGAGCATGCAAAGGATGTACAGATCCTGCACCGTTACCAGTTCGGAAAAGCTTGGCGCGCAGTGCAGCGCCTCCAGGCCCAGGTGTGCTGGTGGTTTAAAACGCCATGGGAATGGAGCGGTGACTGCTAGCAAGCCTTCAAGGAGCTGAAGACTGTCCTCACAAAATACCCCATCCCAAAATCGTGAAACCGGATAATCGTTTCGAGGTAACCACTCACACAAGCCAGTATGACATACCAAGGGTAGCAAGTTGAGAACTGTCGAGTACATGTCAAGAAGATGCCATCACAAAAAGTTGGTGGCATCTACCTATGAGAGGGAGTTGTATGCACTTTATATCGGTCTAAAACACAGGATGCATTATTTGCATGCCAACCACTCGGGAAAAAAAAAAAAAAAGAGTCTGACCATTACAAGCTTCAATGGATCAAAACCCAGTCACACCTTTCTGACACACTTCAGAGGTGGATACCAGTCATAGACATGCACGACTTTGCCTTGACGCATCACAAGGGAAAATCGATATAGTGGCTGACGTGCTATCAAGAAGAGCCAACTTCCTCAGTGCCATAGTACTTAGCCAATGTGTTGCAACTTGCACGACCTTGGTGGCCATTTATAAAGCAAAACACCCATGCGTACGCGGAAACGCTGGAAAGCTTTTTTTTTTTTTTTTTTTTTTTTGTTTTTTGGTCAAGACACCCATGTGTACGTGTACACAGGCCGTAGGCTTGCTCAAGCCTCTCCCTATTCCATCTGGACCCGGACAATCAGTGGCCATAGACCTCATGAACACTCCTCTCACTAGTAGGAACGGGAACCGACATATCTTTGTAGTGATAGATACATTTCCGAAGCTTGTCAAACGTGTGCCCCTACCAGAAATACCCGAGAGAAGCTCAGTGGTAAGTGTGTCCCAACAGACAGGTTTTAAACTTTGGATTGCTGAGCACGGTTGCAAGTGAAACGAGTGTATGGCTCACAATCGAACAATGGCAGTCCTTGGCTCAAAAGTACACGTCTGAATTGACGGTGAGTTCACGGAACCACGTTGAAGCAAACGAACATACTGAGCAGGTCAACGAACAGGGACAACACCCGCTGCAACATTATATCGCCGCAAACCAACTACATTCGGATGAGCATCTGCCAAAAGTCGCTAGCATGTACAGTAACATGGTTCACTCAGTTGCAGGCTGTACCCCAAGGCAACTGTATCTTGACTGGAAACCAAGAAGGCCA